TCACCCTACGTGCAATACAACATTCGTGTCCGAGTTGAGTTTTTAATCAACCGAAGGTTCTACTCTGCCCCTCCGGGACCTTCGTCGAGTTCTGCAAAACTCATCCCGTTTGTTTGCAATAACGTGCGCCGTTTCATTACATGTATACTGCACGGAATAACGGAATTACGTGCTGGTTCTAATGTGGTTTAACGGCACACGCGTACTCGCGGAACTTACGTATGTATTTTACAGCAACACGCGAGAAACTTACTTCCTTAGCTCTTTCTGGTGAATTTGTAAAAGAAGAGGAAGATCTTCAGGAAATATCTAAATTCCAAGGTCGAACTTACGAGCGACTTATTTATTGCGTAACTATATATATATATATATTATTCCGAAAAAATTCGTATATTCAGAGTCATTTTACGCAACCGGAAATACCCTAGATATTTAGTAGAGTTTATTAATGACGTATCATTAGTAAACGATTATTGGCCTTCGATCATAAGTTGTACATTTACACGGTTGTTAATCAGTTGTTATTTTGGTTTTGTATCGTTTACTAATTTATATATATATGTGTGTGTGTGTGTGTGTGTGTGTGTAACATCGGTATACAATGATCATTGTCAGATCGTCATCATTGATTCTATTCACGATGACGTGAATCATTACACGGCCGGTGTACATACCACGCGTAAGGATTGTTTCACTCTCATGTAATCGAGATTTACTCTGGCGCATGCAACTCTCACATAAGCATAATGTATTAATTTTTTTATATGCTATCGTTAGCCGTAGAATCGAAACAGCGTACCATTAATTTCTAAGAGTTCACTCCACGATTAAGCCACGATTGTTCTGTTTGTCTGTCACAGTCTAACGTTACGTTTCGGGTAATTATATTGTTGATTGTGTAACGATTGTGTAAATATTAAAGTAACTCTTAATTTAAAACGATTCGAGAAACTTGAAACGATTGTTATTTTGCTGAAGGTGATTAGGTGGAACGTGTTATAAACGTTACACGCAAAGTTACATTTGAACATTTTTTTTTCTTTTCGGTAATTGATATATCTCGCTTGACTATGTTGTAATATGAAAAATGAAAGACGAAGTCTGTAAGTTAGTAAAGATGGTTGAGAAACGAGAAACGAGAAGGTCTTTTGAATCTTTAGAATCCACCGTAAGATAGTCGTAGAATGTCTGCGAGTTTCGAACAGCACGGACGATAAAGTGATCTTGATTATACTCGTGATAACAGATTCATGATCGAATGGCATTAGGGGTTCTTTCTGTTTCGAGGTATACAGGAATTTCAGCGTTTAGAAACAAAAATACGCACAAAATCATAAATAGATCGCGTGGAGGCAAAGACGCGAAGATCACAAATGAACAACTTCCGGAAGGAAGACGTTAATGTGATTTACTTGACAAGAACGCGCACACTTGTTCGCTTACGATTACCGTTTACGAAAATGAGAAATATATTTACAAAGTCGCTTATTACCACTTTAATTTAATTAGTCGAGTCACATGTTAAACAATGAGAAAGAAAACATATTTTCTTCTTAATTCATTATTAATACATGATCCATAAATCCTACATTCCGACTTTTAAC